CCCTCTGTCATGCTATCTGGGAGGCACAGAGTGGGATGACCTAAAATTGGAGAAAGAGGTTAATTGAAATGAGGCTTATCTGAGCCTAATGTAGCCAGCCTTTGGAGAGAGTGGTCTGAAATGGGGATGGCGGGTAGAGGACCAATAAATGTTTTCATGCTTTGCCATATACCAGGTCTGTCCATGAAAAACCCTCTTGATCTTTATTGACATTAATTAAAATAAGAGTAAATATTCAAGTCTGCATATTATTCTGTCCAGATTGTAAAGAGAATGTTTAATTGTAAAGAAGGAACAACAGAGGTACGTGTTGAATCTGGGGGACTGAGAGTCTGTTATTCTGTTTATGAAATGTGGTGTTATATAACCTTCCTGAATACTGTCACTTCATCTGCTGCCTCTCTTCTCTGTATTGGGCTGAAGAAAAAGCAAGTTGTGCCTCCAAAGTAGAGTTAGATGCTAGAAAATTTGTTTCTACTTTTCTTGTGATTCTACCTTTACAAGAAAAGTAGATCCTGGATGCGTCATCCTTCAGTTCTCTTAACATGTTTATTTCAGTGTTGTTTACATGCAAAAATGACTCTTCAATACAAAAATAATATACTTAAGAAATACCTAAATATCCGGAGTAAAATACGAGAGTATCTGTTTACCACCTTGATTCCTTTCTCACTTAACTGTCTTCTGTAAATGCCTGATTGTATCAATTACCTCTGGGTTTAGGTGACTTCTGAACCACAAATATGTCCTTGTCACCTGTCTTGCACATCACGTCATTGTCTCTGGGTTTTGATCTCCCTAGATTTGTCTTATGTTCTTTCTTTATTTAGGGAGCCTTGAAATTTCTGGCTCACAAAGTTTAGAATGCAGAATTTCTTATCTAGCAATAATACTTAAACAACAGAGCAATGCCACAGATTTATTTTGTTTTTCAGTAATTTTTATGTTGTTTCATGGGATTTTGAGAAGGCAGGATGGTGGTTGCAAATGTTCTACATTTGATCTAATCTTTTCATATAAATTTAGAGACGTGGTTTAGACTGCTGAAATAATTTGACTATTGCTGGATGGCTCCTAGAATAGTGTCTGTTAAAGGTATTTAGTAAAAGTTTGCTGATGAATGGTTATGAGTTAAGCCAAGACTAGAATTGGGTCTTCCAAGCCTTGGTTGTGTACTCTTTCCATGACAGCAGGACAGCATACTGCTACCAAATTTTCTTTTTTTTGAAGATGGAGTCTCACTCTGTACTCCAGGCTGGAGTGCAGTGGCGTGATCTTGGTTTACTGAAACCTCACCTCCCAGGTCCCGGTTCAAGCAATTCTCCTGCCTCAGCCTCTGGAGTAGCTGGGATTACAGGAACGTGTCACCACACCCAGCATATTTTTGTATTTTTAGTAGAGACGGGGTTTCACTATGTTGCCCAGGCTAGTCTTGAACACCTGACTTCATAATCCGCCCACCTCAGCCTCCCGAAGTGCTGGGATTACAGGTGTGAGCCACTGCCCTCAGCCCCAAGTTTTCTATAAATCATGACTTTTCTGGGTTGGATGCAGTGTTATTTGGGAAGCAGATACTTAAAACATAAGATCATAGTTTAAGTAGCTATGTGAATTAGCATAGGCTTGCAATAACATAGCCTAAAAAAACCTGCCCAGGAGAAACTGGCCTCTAGACAACTAAGTTTGTTAATAGAAAATGATAATGCAGTTGGAAGCTTATGTGTAAACTCTTTGCTGTCTGTTTTTTCTTTCTGACACTTTGAACATGAAGATAATGCTAATCATTCTGTCTTCTGTTACTGAGTTGTCTGAACCTATAAATGTGACTTTGCACAAATAAGGCGAATGATCCAAAGGCAAGATTCTGATGACACTCACAGCGGATTTTTGTGTTAAATGAACTGCTGAAGGAAATCCATAGATTTGAAATTATTTGGGGTTATCTGTAGACTTGAGCTAAACTCCAATAGCCTATGATTGATAAATGCTTTCATTCATTCAAAAAGTATTTATTGAGCATCTACTATATGCCAGGACTTAGGTACATGGAATCCTAGAAATACAGCAGTCAACAAAATAGACATGGTCCTCACAAGGCTTTCCATTTAATATATGGAAGGGAGACATTCAACTAATAATTATACAGTCAGACATTTTGTTATAATTCTATTAAGGGATGAGGTGAGAAGAGTATTTTATAATAGTTTAGTGTCTTCATGCAATAGAAGAAAATTCAGTGTGGCTGGAGGGATAGGAGCTGGGTCACATGTTTTCCTAAGGTACCATGCCATGTGCCCCTTGCCAGCAGTGCCTAGAGGAATCTGTAGACATGCTTGTGGTGAGGAAAATGTTATTAAGTTATGTAGGTTTGAAGCTCAGCATATTCTTCCCTGCAGAATTTTTTCTTTCAAAGCAGGAGGATCAATTTTCAAAGAACAATGGGTGACACCAGCACTATTTGCATTCATCCAGAAGCCCAGCTAAGCAGATAAGGCTGTCTGTGCTGTTGATGCCTGAATTATATCTTCCAGGATTTCACTAAGCAGAATTTTCTTTATCCCATGTTTTTTTAAATACAGAATTTTGCTCACAGTAGCTTGGTAATCTATACCAGATTTAATGTATTCTGTTTTGGCACTAATCACAGACTGAATTATTTACATGGGAATAACTTTAAAATCTGTGTTTTGCACCTTCCAGACAAAATTAGAATTATAGTATGTAAACTGCACGAGGAAAGGAAATCTCTTCCAAGTTGGATCCTCCTGTGAGTTTAAATGTGGAAAGCAGATGCTATTTTTTGTCCTCTTTTAAAAAAGTAAACTTAATTTTAGAATCATTTCAGATGTCAGAAAAATTGCGAAGGCAGTACAGAACGTTCATCTGTATCCTACGCCAGTTTCCCCAGTTTTAACTTTTTATGTTTGTCACGATTGATGAACAAATGTTGCTAAGTGTTATTAACTAGAGTCCACCCTGTATTTTCATTTCCTTAGTTTTTGCCTAACGTCCGTTTCCTGCGTCAGGATCACATCTAGGACACCACATTAATTCAGTCATTACGCATCTTCAGGCTTCTTTTGGCTGTGGCCATTTCTCAGTCTTTCCTTGTTTTCGATGACTTGAGAGCATTGAGGAATGCTGGTCAGGTATTTCGTAGGGTGCTCCTTGACTGGAATTAGCTTGATGTTTTTCTCATGATTAGACCAGGGTTATGGGTTTCCGAGAGCAAGGTCACAGAGGTAAAACGCTATTCTCACCACATCATATTAATCAACATGACTCATCACTGATTCATTTTGGACACCTGGTTGAGGCAGTGTCAGGTTTCTCCACTGTAAAATTACTTCCCTCTCCCTCCACCCCTTCATACTTTACTCATACCTTCTCCTTTAGGGTGGAATATCTTCATAAACTTTTTGGAATTCTTCTGTACAAGAGTTTTCTCTTCTCTCCCATTTATTTATTCAATTAATCATTCATTTATATTGCTATGGACTCGTGGATATTTATTTTAACTTTGAGTTATAATTGAATGCTATTTTATTTTGCTGTTCAAATTGTTCCAGCTTTGGCCTTTGGGAGCTCTTTCAGTTGGTTTTTGTGTCCCTTTGACATGTCCCATCCTTGTGGGATTTTTGGAATACTTTTTTGTTGTTGTTGACTTTCTGACAGAGCAAGATGCTTCAGGCTCATCTTGTATATTTCCTGACCTGGTTCTAGGTACTTATGTTTTTTTTTAACAATTTTTTTTTTTTTTTTGAGACAGAGTCTGGCTCTGTCACCCAGGGTGGAGTGCAGTGGCATGATCACAGCTCACTGCAACCTTTGCCTCCTAGGTTCATGGAATTCTTCTGCCTCAGCCTTCTGAGTAGCTGGGATTACAGGTGGCTGCCATGCTCAGCTAATTTTTTGTATTTTTAGTAGAGATGGGATTTCACCATCTTGGCCAGGATGGTCTCGAACCTCTGACCTCAAGTGATCCACCTGCTTTGGCTTCCCAAAGTGCTGTGATTACAGGCGTGAGCCACTATAATCTGTGTTTTTTTAAAAACATAAGAAATACTGTGCTTATTATAACTATTGACAACTTGACGTGTTGTAAACCTTAAGGTTAAAAAACCCCTAAAAATCAAAGTCTGAAAAGTCCAAACTGGGGAGATTATTCTACTATTTGGTCTTCATGTTTTCCTTGACCTTGGGCCATCCCTGGTGGAAGGGCTGAGTTCGTGAATTTGTGTTTTGGGTGCTGTCCTGAGGATGACAGGAAGAGTCCAGATCAGCAAACCTTTCCAGTAAAGGCCCAGATAGTAAATATTTTCCACTTTGCAGTCCAAAAGCTCCCTGTCGCAGCTACTCAACTCTGTGTTTGTGGTGTGAAAGCAGCCATAGACAATATGCAAATGAACTGGGTGGCTGTCTTCCACTATTTCCTCTTTTGAAAGTGTAATCTCTGTTTCCAAAAGTGGATGGTGTCCTGAATTTGGTCTGTGGGCTGCAGTTTACCTGTCCTGTGTTAAAAGAACTGGGCAGACGTGAGTTCAAGCCTTGTCATTTGCTGACTTGGTGTTAGGCAAGTAATTTAACTTCCAACAGCTCCAACATTCTTTAGCTTAATAATGGGCATAATAACAGTATTAATGTTGGTCCCTTATAAAGTTTAGGGTTTAAATGATATAAGTAAAACACTTAGCTCCATGTCTATTACCCATTTTAGGGTGATTACATCATTTCCTGTTAAAAGAGGACTCCTGGGGAGGAAAGTAAGTGATATTAGCCATTGATCATGTAGGGACAAGGGGTGTGAACAGTGACCATCCAAAGTCTATCCCAGAATGTGTATCCACCCTAGCTATTATTATTAGAATCATCTCTGTTAGCTGCTAATGCCTCTAATTTCCTGCAAATGTTCTGTCCTCCTGCTTCCTACGTCAGGACCTGGACTGGGCCTTCTTAGTGCTCTGAAATTACCCTTTCTTCTTTTTTCTCTTTGATCTCAGGAAATGATCTGATTTGATGAGCGGAAGACCATGTTACTTGATCTGGTTCAGCTTAGATACTTCATGTTAAAATCTGGTGAGTTTCCCCTTTAAGAGTTGGCAGTTTTCAATTAAATGTGATGCTCTACACATGTTCAGTTGTTACGATAATAATTTTTTCTTTCCTTTCTGCATGTACTGAACTTCCTAGCTCTTCTGTTGAGATTTGTGATTTGCCATTTGCTTTGACCTCGGGTTACTGTGAGCCTTTTCGTCTTTACCTTGTGTGTGCCTGATTACCTTTTTCTGCCTTAGCTCCTTCACCTAATTACTCTCACTGGGAAATTCTGTTTTTCCAGAAGATGTAGGCCTTTTGGCTGCCGTTAGTTACCCTTCTTTCCCTTGGTGTACAGAAGGGGAACAGAGGACTGGCGTAAAGAGGAAGGCGAGGCCGTTGCAGTGTTTGTCAGTGTGGTTTTGACCTTGTGAAAGAATGAGCTGGGTCCTCATTAACATGCAGGTTTCTGGGGAGCCCTGGGCACACTGACTTAGATTCCCTGGTGGCAATGCCTAGGAATTAGCATTCCTCAAATACTCTGATGATTCTAATGTGCTCTAAAGTTTAAGAACGACAGCAATAAAGAATGTCTGAAAAGGGAGTATAAATTACAAGAAGCAATCTGGCATTATATTTTGTAGAGAACTCTCCTTGAGATCAGAGATCTGTCTTCTGTGCCAGAAGCCACTGCTAAAGTTCTGACCTAAGTGAGTTTTCAAGATATTTTCTGATTGCTTTCACTTTTCTCTTTCTTGAATAGCTGTTGCAAAGAAGTGCAAACAGGTCCTCTTATTGGACAGGGAGGAAGTATTTGGAGGTGGGTTTTGATGGAGGCTTTGAAGGGTGGGAGATAAGATGGCTGGGGCTATGTTTTAAAAAATTCTTCAAAGTTGAGGTAATTGAGGATGATAGGAAGTCAAGGGAAGAGAAGTGAGGTATGGGAAAAGTCAAGAGGGAAAAGGAGGGTGGAGTTAGTGGAGGGATGTAGATGTATTTTAGCCTATAAACAGCACATGCTGCAAGGGATTGAAGGACAAGGTTGAATCATCCTAAGGAAAATTTCTCTAGCAGGACTCAGAAGGAGAACAGGGAATTATTGAGAGTTTTATTTAAGGCATACATTGGTTTAGTAATCCATACTTGCCCAGATTTTCTTTCCATGTATTTATAGAAAGACAGTTATTTTGAGGGAGGAATTTCAAATGCCTAAGTGGTGTGAATAGCAAAGACTTCCAAAGATCCTAGTTTTCAATTTGAACAGCATCTGTGTTCATGTTTAATGGCATTTCTTTATCACACATGTCATGAGCGCCTACTTGATGTGTACCAAGCCAGGCACCATTGGTGAGACACAAAAGCATAACCTTGCATTTTCAAGGAGGTTTTCTCCTTGGAGGGCAACCGAGAAGGCACATATGAACAGCGAAGTGTTAGTAAAGCCTCTGCGACTGTTAGATGTCTCATTCTTTTCATGAGCAACTCAAAGGAGATGGCTTCTGAAGTGAGATGTCTTGGGATAGGCCTCAATGGTTAAGACAAAGTAAGGGAAAAGGAACTGAGCATTTTATATGTGCATATTGTCTACCAGTGACAAGGGGGTGAAAATATGCATGGTTGGTGTGAGGAAGGGCAAGTTGCTCCATCTGTTGGCACTGTGGGTTATTTCTGGGGTGCAGTGGGAGATGACATGAAACATCAGCTTGGGGTAGATTATAAAAAGGGCCTCAAGAGTCAGACTCCAGGTTCAGTGGGAGGTCATACTGTAAGATTTTTTTTTTTTTTTTAAAGAGAGTCTCTGTTGCCCAGGCTAGAGTGCAGTGGCACAATCATGGCTCACTGCAGCTTTGACCTCCTGGGCTCAGGTGATCCTGCATCATCCTCCTGAGTAGCTGGGACTAGAGGCGTATACAACCATGCCCAGAAAAGTTTTTTTTTTTTTTTTTGTAGAGATGGAATTTTGCCATATTGTGCAGGCTGGTCTCTAACTCCTGGGCTCAAGCAATCTGCCTATCTTGGCCTTCCAAAGTGCTGGGATTACAGGCATAAGCGACTGCGCCCAACTATAGCTATGAGATTTTGAACAGGGGGATGATATGCTGAGAATTGTTTAGAAACATTTAGTGGGTATATTTTACTGGAAGGAGTGAAGTTGGGACTTGCTAGAGGGAATGACACATGTGAAGAAAGTCTTTTGATAATACCAGCATGGTAAGAGCCAGACAAAGGTGAACACAGTGGGAATGTAGAGGAGGGATGGGTTAAAAGATGTTGCAGAAGAATACCCCACATGCCTTATTTTCTCAATGACTCTATGAGAGAGTATTTTTATCCCTGTCTGTAAGATGAGGAAACTGAGGCACAGAAAAGTTAACTTACATATCCAAAGACATATAACTGGTAAGTAGCAGGTATACTGCTGTGCTGTCCAATGTGGTAGCCACGAGCTATGTGAGACTACATAGAGTTAATTATAATGAAATATTTAAAAATTAGATCCTGCGATATCTGTCACATTTCATGTGATCCTTAGCCGCATGTGCCTATTACGTTAGATGGTGCAGAAAATTTCTGTTGTTGCAGAATGTTCAATTGAACAAATTTTGAACCTATGTCTTCTAACTCTTGAGTGAATGTTCTTAATGCACTCCACCACTGATATTAACAAGAAGCCTCCCTAGTTTCTCACTAGATTGCTAGGCCAAAGAAGAGCAGCAGAGAGGACTAATATAGCATTTTAATGGTTTATCAATATTATTAATGAAACTTATTAAATGCCCCTATTGTAAGTCCTTTTCAGTGAGTTAGGTTCATTTAAATTACATCAGGAGAAAACAAGCTAATATTAATTCAGAACAATATACCTCTACAATGATAACCATAACATTTTAGTCTTCTAGGAGGTACAGATTGCCATCTGTTTATAGTTGAGGACTTACTTCTAATTTGAAGATTCTATCTGGCACATTTTCAGTTTGGTAAGGTAGCGTAATCACGGTCGTAAATCCTTTTCTCTCTCAGGTTTCTCTCTAAGAGGCTCTTCAGTTCACTTTTAAATGGGCTACAAAAGCTTACTGGAAAGATGGATGTCTTCCTTGTCTGAGCACAATATTATTAAAGCAAGGACGCCGATGAGATTGCTAAGTGATACAGAATCTGGGATAATGTTAAACTGCAGAGACATTTATTTCCTTATTTCGGATGAAAATGGAGAATCTCACTTTCATTAGGGGGAGCTGGCATATAATTCTTTAGCGATTAGGACAGTGACCTTACATTTCCTGTAACCATCAGCATTTAGCCAAAATGTTTTACCATCTTGGAACATTAGGTGTACGGGGGCTGCACCTTCCTTTAAGAGGGTGGCTGGAGGGCCTTATCAGAATGCTCAATTTGTGAGTTGTTTCACTAGGTGATTTTGCGCCATCTCCTCTGGTTTTCATGTGCAAGGATATTAAGCCTATGATAATATTGTGAACCCCTCAACAGTACTTTCCCCTAATTTCCGCAAGGCAATAATGCAGAATATTGCACTTCATAGGCCTGTGCTATGCAAGACTGACTTCTCTGTTCCTCTTGCTTCCCTTCAGTGATCTGAGTATGCTTTTCAGGTGGGTGATTCTTTGTATCAGTAGGTAGATATTATAAAGCCTATTAAGGGGTGCAAAGTGGAAGAATGCTGGCTCCCTACTCTTAGGAAGCTTTAAAAAAATATCCTGAAAATAAACCTTTGTCTTTTTTCTCCCCCAGGTTCCGATGATTATAGCCAAGTTTAAAGGTCACATTGTAGTTTAACTTGGTTTGGGTCCTGGATTATTGTTTAATATTTACCAAGCATTCACTTGTTGGCAAAAGTGAATTGTGCTCACGTAAAACTGACCATTCTTTTCTCTTGGTTTGTTTCTGAATTATTCCACTTTCATCAAATCCCTCCCAAACACAGATTTATTCATGCTTCTTTTTCACATTGGAAGGAAGGTTCCAGACTCAGGATGAAGATGGTATAGGGATTTCCCACTTTAGGCATTTCAGTGCCTATAACTACACTTTTTATTAGTAAGCCATTGTTCAGAAATCTTGCAATGGATCCTATGGTATTTTTTACCCTTAGTTGTTAAATTGACCTACATGAACACTTGTAGTTTTTCATCATGAAAAATTTTAACCATTTTTCATTTTTTTGTACCTGACAATGTTAAGGAACAAAATGCCTCGTCTGACCCTAAACAATTTGTTTTGGTTTCTATAGCTGGTGAATTCAGGTGCAGAATTACATTCTTTCTTGGTTGCTGATTAAAAAGGCAGACCTGGAAGATAGTCTTCTGTTCTGAGTAGTACTAGGTATGTAGAATTCTTTTTTGAGACAGAGCTTTTCACTGTTAACCAGGCTGGTGTGTAGTGGTATGATCTTGGCTCACTTCAACCTTCACCTCCAGATTCAAGTCATTCTTCTGCCTCAGCCTCCTGAGTAGCTGGGACTACAGGCGCCCACCACCATGCCTAGCTAAATTTTGTATTTTTAGTAAAGATGAGGTTTCACCATGTTCTCCAGGCTGGTTGAACTCCTGACCTTAAGTGATCAGCACACCTTCACCTCCCTATGTGCTGGGATTACAGGTGTGAGCCACTGCGCCCTGCCTAGGATCCTTTTTGGATTGTCAGATTATTCCCATTACCGGCCAGGATGCCAGGCAGTGACTGCTGTTACCAAAACCAGACTGCCATCCTGGAAAGAAAAATAGGTCATGATTGTGTGTGAACTCAAATTTAGGGAGAATAAAATTGGGAAACCAAGAGCTACTTTGTTACTTAAAACAGTTTCCTTTTTTTTTTTTTTTTTAACTTCCTCGTGAGAGTTTAATTATAATTTTGGTTTTTTAAAAAATAACTTCAACTTTTATTTTAGATTTAGGGAATGCATGTGCTGGTTTGTTACATGGATATAATGCGTCATGCTGAGGTTTGGGGTATGAATGATTCTGTTACCCAGGTTGTGCTCATAGTACCCAATAGGTAGTATTTCAGCTCTTGCCCTCCTCCCTCCCTCCCACCTCTAGTAGGCCCACTGTCTATTGTTCCTGTCTTTACATCCATAGGTACCCAATGTTTGGCTCCCAATAATAAGTGAGAGAGAACATGTGGTATTTGGTTTCTGTTCCTGTGTTAATTTGCTTAGGATAATGGCCTTCAGCAGCCTTCGTGTGCATCCATGTTGCTGCAGAGGACATGATTTCATTCTTTTTAAATACACGTTGTACATATTCCACATTTTCTCTATCCAGTCCAACATTGATAGGCACTTAGTTTGTTTCCATGGCTTTTCTGGTGTGAATGGTGCTGAAATGAACAAAAGAATGCATGTGTCTCTTTTTGTAGAATGATTTATTTTCTTTTGGAATGGGATTGTTGGGTTAAATGGTAGTTCTGTTTTTAGTTCTTTGAGAAATTTCTACACTGCTTTCCATGGTGGTTGAACTAATTTACATTCTTAGCAACAGTGTGTAAGAGTTCCCTTTTCTCTGCAGCCTTGCCAGCATCTGCTATTTTTTCTCTCTCTAATAGCCATTCGGACTGATGTGAAATGATAACTTTTTGGGTTTTCATTTGCCTCTCACTTATTGGTAATGTCAAGCATTTCTCATGTTGACAAAGAATTTATGGCTTTGTCATAAATTTTTGTATTTTTAGTAGAGGTGGGATTTCACCATGTTCACCAGGCTGGTCTTGAACTCCTGACCTCAAGTGATTGGCCCACCTTGGTCTCCCTAAGTCCTGGGATTACAGGGGTAAACTACTGAGCCTGACCTAGGATCCTTTCTGGGTTATAGATTCGGGTGCAGAATTATATTCTTTCTTGGTTGCTGGTTAAGAAGGCAGACCAGAAAGACAGTCTTCTGTTCTGAGTAGTACTAGGTGTGTAGAATCCTTTTCTGAGACAGGGTCTCATTCTGTCACCTACGCTGGAGTGTAGTAGTGCAATCTTGGCTCACTTCAACTTCTGCCTCCTGGGTTCAAGCAATTCTCTTGCCTTGGCCTCTGATTACAGGCACCAGCCACCATGCCCAGCTAATTTTTTGTATTTTTTAGTAGATACAGGGTAGATGGATGATTCTGATTTTTGATTTAACTTGCCACTCTGTGCTTTTTTAGTGGGGTGTTTAGAACATGTACTTTCAAGGTTAATATTGATAGGTGATGTTTTGACTCTATCATCAAGTTGTTAGCTGATTGCTTTGTAGTTTCCATTGTGTGGTTGCTTTTTAGGGTCTGTGGACCGTGTGCTTAAGTGTGTTTTGTGGTAGCAGGTATCATTCTTAGGTTTCCATGTTTAAAACTTCCTTGAGGAACTCTTGTAAGGCTGGTCTAATGGTAAAGAGTTTCATTTATTACACATTGAAATCTACTAAATTACCTACCTCTCTTTTCTTTCTTTCTTTTTTTTTTTTTTTTTGAGACGGAGTTTCGCTCTTGTCACTCAGGCTGGAGTACAATGGTGCGAACTCGGCTCACCACAACCTCCATCTCCTGGGTTCAAGCAATTCTCCTGCCTCAGCCTCCGGAGCTGGGACTACAGGCGTGTGCCACCATGCCCAGCTAATTTTTGTATTTTTAGTAGAGACGGGATTTCACCATGTTGACCAGGATGGTCTCGATCTCTTGACCTTGTGATCCACCTGCCTCGGCCTCCCAAAGTGCTGGGATTACAGGCGTGAGCCACCGTGCCCGGCCTTCTCTT